TCGCTCTTGTTACCCAGGCTGGAGTGCAATGGCGCGATCTCGGCTCATCGCAACCTCCGCCTCCTGGGTTCAGGCAATTCTCCTGCCTCAGCCTTCTGAGTAGCTGGGATTACAGGCACGTGCCACCATGCCCAGCTAATGTTTTGTAGTTTTAGTAGAGACGGGGTTTCACCATGTTGACCAGGATGGTCTCGATCTCTTGACCTCGTGATCCACCCACCTCGGCCTCCCAAAGTGCTGGGATTACAGGCTTGAGCCACCGCGCCCGGCAAGAATAATTCTTAAGCAGATATTTAAGAAGCAAGAACAGCGGTTTTCAATTATCAGGGCATCTAAGAATCACTCTAGGAGCTTGTAAACATGCTAAACCTTAGGTCTCAACCCCCTACCTGGGGGCTAGGGTGGGCCCCCAGCATCAGTGTGTTTTTGTTTTGTTTTGTTTTGAGACAGAGTCTTGCTCTGTCACCCAGGCTGGAGTGCAGTGGTGCGATCTCAGCTCAGTGTAACCTCCATCTCCTGGGTTCATGCGATTCTTCTGCCTTGGCCTGCCGAGTAGCTGGGATGACAGGTGCGTGCCATCACACCTGGCTAATTGTTTGTGTTTTTGGTAGAGATGGGGTTTCACCATGTTAGTAAGGATGGTCTCCATCTCCTGACCTCGTGATCCGCCTGCCTCAGCCTCCCAAAGTGCTGGGATTACAGGCGTGAGCCACCGCGCCCAGGCGGCATCAGTGTTTTCAGCCAGCAGTCTGGGTGCGTCTGGTGTGACTGGCCAAGAACACGCTCTGACAACAATGATCTAGGTCTCAGACCTCAGCTGGGAAACAGTTTTCATCAAAGAGCACACTGGCCATCCTCAGAGAACAGAACGAGGCCCTCCTTCTTTCACTGGGGAGGTGGATCATGTAGGCTGAGGGGCCTGGTGGGCACTTTTATTTGGGATCTGATAGTGTCAGAAAGGAATTTGGTTAAAGGGCTCCAGCCGAGTCTGCAATCCAAGTTAATGAGATGTTTGCACTTGGAAGTGGCTGGCACAAGCCCAAACAGGGGATGAGCGGCACCGACCAAGTCACTGCAGGGTCACTGGGGATCAGGTGGTCTTTTTAACATGATAGCTTTTAAAATCACCAAGTATTAGAACTTGATTCAGTTATTATCAGTGCATCACTAACAAACTGGGCTCTTTATTTCTGTTCAAAACAAAGCCGCAGGCCGGGTGTGGTGGCTCAAGCCTGTAATCCCAGCACTTTGGGAGGCCGAGGCGGGTGGATCACGAGGTCAAGGGATCGAGACCACCCTGGTCAACATAGTGAAACCCCGTCTCTACCAAAAATACAAAAAATTAGCTGGGCATGGTGGTGCGTGCCTGTAATCCCAGCTACTCAGGAGGCTGAGGCAGGAGAATTGCCTGAACCCGGGAGGCGGAGGTTGCGGTGAGCCGAGATCGTGCCATTGCACTCCAGCCTGGGTAACAAGAGCGAAACTCCGTCTCAAAAAAAAAAAAAAAAAAAAAACAAAGCCGCAACTTGTGTTTTATAATTGCCATGGCATGGGCATGACGTCAGTGGCTCAGGGGGCCTTCAAGATCTGGGACCTCTAAGGATCGGAATGTTTGATTCCGCTTCACTTTGAGCAGCGTTAGAGCATCTTTCTTGGAGGGCATGTCCATGCCTGGCTCTGTTATCTTATCCAAACAGATCGTCTGCCCAGACGGACACATCCTGTGTCAGCTCTGCTAGTTTCCTGGGTTTCCTGGTACTGTCGAATGGGACCTTGTGCCTCAAAATCATCAAAGAGGCTCAGAAACGGGAGAGGTCTTCTTATCTAGGTGCAGATCCAATACCACAGCTTACACATGGGGAAACTGAGGCCCCAGAAAACGAAGGCAAATTAGTGACAGGAGGAGGACTTGAGCCCAATCCCTAACTGCCTCCATGGCTGGAACTCCAAAGGTAACACTAAGGAGCCCCTTGGGCTCTAATCCATCATGTCAGAACAACGGGAGGACTTTACAGACAGCTTCGTCAATGCTTATGTGCCCACCTGTTTTTGTTTGTTTTTGTTTTTGTTTTGAGATGGAGTCTCACTCTGTTGCCCAGGCTGGAGTGCAGTGGCGCCATCTCAGCTCACTGTAAACTCCACCTCCCGGGTTCAAGTGATTCTCCTGCCTCAGCCTCCCGAGTAGCTGGGATTACAGGCTCCACCATGACCAGCTAATTTTTGTATTTTTAGTAGAGATGGGGTTTCACCATGTTGGCCAGGATGGTCTCGATCTCTTGACCTCGTGATCTGCCCACCTCGGCCTCCCAAAGTGCTGGAATTACAGGCATGAGCCACCGCGCCCGGCATGCCCACTTGTTTTAACTTTTCACTCTTACCCCGGCAAATTTTAATTTCCCATACACATCCGAGTCAGTGATGAAATAGTCACTGGCAGTGCCCACCACTCTGAATTGGGTTTTAAGTGTTGACAAGTCTGCTGAGCCTCAGGCTTAGAGGAAGCACCATGTAGGAGGCAAGAGCGAAACTTTGCTGTGTTCCTGAGGAACTCGTCTACCTGAGACAACAAGGCAGATGTCCAAATAAACGGCAGGGCTGTCTGTGCTCAGGTGCAAATGAGTGGAACAGGTAATACAAAGCAAGATGCAGGTGCGAGCTCAATGGGCTAACGCAGTCAGGGCAGGCTTCCTGAAAAGGTATTTACCTGGCCCATAAAGAACAGGCTGAAGCTGGGCGTGGTGGCTCAACCTGGTAAAGGCTGAGCACTTTGGGAGGTGAGGCGGGTGGACTGCCTGAGTCCAGAAGTTCAAGATCAGCCTGGGCAACATTGCAAGATTTTATCTCTACTAAAAATTAAAAACCTAGCCAGGCATGTAGTACATGCCTGTAGTCCCAGCTACTCGAGAGGCTGAAGCAGGACTGCCTGAGCCCAGGAGTTTGAGGCAGCAGTGAGCTATGCCCGCACCACTGCACTCCAGCCTGCGTGACAGAGCAAGACCTTGTCTTTAACAAATAAAATAAAAAAGGATTAAGTTTGCCTGCGTTTTTTCCAGGAATGAGTTAGGCATGGAGTCAGGATAAACAGAACATGACTCAGCCTTACTAGACAAGGACTTGGTAGAGGCAGAGAACAGTGGAAAATGAGGGTGGAAAGAAAGTGAGCTATTATGTTTTGGGTGGATGCTCATTAGTTCTGTGATTTAAAGTTATGCTTGCCTCCTTATGTCCTAGAAACACAGGCCTGGGTGACTTGTCCTTACCCTTTTGTCCTTGTCTGTGCCTGGATCATGAGAAACAGGATTGGAGCTGTTGTTTGGGGGTTGGGCGGGGGTTCAACAGATGAGAAGCATCCATGCCACCCAGGTACCCTTTGTATCTTTTCTCCACAGTGGGACCCTGAGGATGTGAACCTTGAAGGGAGCAAAGACAACGTGGAGATACTCGGATCCCAGGTGCACTGGGACTCCGTGAGGACAGCAGACCTGAGTGCTGATGATTAACACCTTTGGAGCCAGCTGACCAGCTCAGAGCCCAGGATCAGGAGTTATGTTCAGTAATGCAGTGGGAATCAATCTGCACTGACTCCGTGGCAGGAACTGAAGCTGCTGCAGAAGCCGCCCTGGAAAGTGAGGAACCAGGGGCCGCCACTGAGTGTGGCTGGTTGACATCATAGCTCATAATGGAGCTAAGACTTGTCCTGTGGACAGACCTGGACAGGCCAGCATTTGTTCTGAAGATTACAAGTTTACAGACAGCGCTTGCTTTGTAAAGATAATCCAAAGGACATTGGACCCACTTTTCCCTTTATTCCCTTGAGATTCGGCCATAAACTGAATACCTGCTAGATGCCAGGAAGACGGTTTTTTTTCTTCTTTTTTTTTGAGACAGTTTCCCAGGCTGGAGTGCAATGGCGTAATCTCAGCTCACCACAACCTCTGCCTCCCGGGCTCAAGTGATTCTCCTGCCTCAGCCTCCCAAGTAGCTGGGATTACAGGCATGTACCACCACACCCAGCTAATGTTGTATTTTTAGTGGAGACCAGGTTTCTCCATGTTGGTCAGGGTGGTCTCGATCTCCTGACCTCAGGTGATCCGCCCGCCTTGGCCTCCTAGAGTGCTGGGATTATAGATGTGAGCCACTGCACCCAACCATGAGTTAACCTCACAAATAGCCAATGTGTTTGGATCTCAGCAGAGCCCATTCTGGAAGACCTGGCTGAGCCAGATGAAAGGGTGGGCCCTTTGCTGGGGGGCCTGGGGCACACACAGGAACCAAGACCTGGCTCCTGCCCCCCAGTCACCCACTTGAGTTATCTGCTGGAAGTTATAGATAGGACTGTGTGGCCAGCCATTGTTTGTGAGATCACTGACACTGCAAAACAAAGCAGACTGCGCCGGGTACCAGGACTTCTCCAACCTGGCAAGGTGCGTGCTGAGGTGGGGTTTGCAGGTCAAGGGGACTGTAGGCTTCAGGAACTAACTAAATGCATGTGGAGGATAAGAGGCATCATGGGAGGTGTTCAAGCACAGCAATCCCGTTTGGGGATGACTTGGATACTGTGATGAGTGAGGGAAAGGCGCAGAGAATGGGGCTAAGGTGGGAGCGAACACTAGGGTGAATAAATTCTTTTTACAGAAATTAAAGTGTCTCCATGTGGAGTGCAATGGTAAGTATGAATCCCTGCACAGTCACAGAAGTCTGCCCCGAGAGGAACTGGGAGAAATGCCAAGCAACACAGTTCTGCTCCGCGCTGGCCCACAGCCACCTGTGTGACTCAGCTGTAGCAGCCCGGTTTCTCCTGAGAGGCAGCTCAAGTTCTGGCAGCATGAAGGGGTGCTTTGGGGAAGTAGGTTGGCTCTGCAGGTCTCTGCATGGATCCTAATGCCCTGGGTGACCTCTGAACTACAAGTGATTTTAAAGCCGCCTGGGTACCCCCTTTATCTGAACCGTGTTGGTCCCTGGTTGTCTTGGAGTTTGTTGAAGTCAGTTTTACTTTGTGATGTTAACCACTGAAGCTGTACTTCCAGGGAAGAGGAAGATTTGAATGGAGGCCCAGGATGTGGGGAGAAAAGAGTGTTCAAACAGATGAAAGTACAGAGGGCCGGATGCAGGGGAAGTGGGAGTGAGCAAGGCAGGAAGGATCTGAGATGGCCAGAATGGATGATGCAGGATGGGCTGTAGGGGTGGGCAGAGGCTGAAAAGGAACCAGACTGTGGAGGCTGCTGAGTCAGTGCTTGGTTCTGTGGCCAAGTGCTAGCAGTGGAAGACAGCAGAGTAGGAAGGTGACTGACTTGCCTCAGGCAGACCACAACTGATGGGTGAGATTTTCATCCCTAAGGCTACAACATTCCAGGAAGCAGAAATGTCGTCATGGGTACAGAATGAACATCGGAAGGAGGTTTAATCTAGAGTACTGAGTGTAACAGCAGAGCAGAAGAGCTTATCTTTAGAAAGGCAGAATGCGTGGGGATAGGGTGACTTCTGGAGTTTGCCTTTAGCACACCCTCTATCTTCAGGGAAGTCTGGATCATGCTCCCTGGGGCACCAAAAATTGGTTGGATCCAGGTGAAAGTGGCCATTCACCCAAGAACACCAAATGATCTTGGCCAGGTACCGTGGCTCATGCCTGTAATCCCAGCATTTTGGCAAGCTGAGGTGGGCAGATCACTTGAGGACAGGAGTTCAAGACCAGCCTGGCCAACATGGTGAAACCCTATCTTTTTACTGAAAATATAAAAAATTAGCCAGGTGTGGTTGGGGGTTCCGGTAATATCACCTACTTGGGAGGCTGAGGCAGGAGAATCACTTGAACCCAGGAGGCGAAGGTTGCAGTAAGCAGAGATCAAGCCACTGCACTCCAGCCTGGGAGAAAGCGAGAGACTCCATCTCAAAAAAAAAACCAAAAAATTAGCCAAGCCTCTTAGCCCACACCTGTAGTCCCAGCTGCTTGGGAGGCTGAGGCACAAGAATTGCTTGAACCCAATAGGCAGAGGTTGCAGTGAGCTGAGAATGCACCACTGCACTCCAGCCTGGGCAATACAGCAAGATTCTGTCTCAAAAAACAACAAAAACCTCGCTGACTTTGAATAACACGAACTACCGAAGGTCCAGATATTATCTACCTCCCTAGTTCCCATCAGCCCAGCCTCCTCCCTTCACAAACTAGTTTTTATCATCATGGTCCCAGCTTGTCTCAAGGGTAAGTCTCAAGCCTCTTCATGCACCATGAACCACAAAACTGGGAATTTTGGAAGCAAGGTTTGGCTTCATTGTTCAAGACTCTTCCTGTACACAAAACTCCAGAACACTGGAGCCTCTGTGAAGAGATGCCAATCAAAATGCCTTTCTCCTAGTAGGAGTGGGCCTCTCTTGCAGTTTTGTCGCTAGTCCTTAGACCAAGAGGGCAGTGGGAGTAACTTGCCCCCATGACCCAGTGAGCAATGCACGGGCTTACCTACACTAGGGAGGGGCTAGGGAACAAACGATGTAATCATCTGCTCACCCACCTGGAGTTGTGTAATACTGTCTGGTGTGCTGCCTATCATGTGTGTGGCTTGCAGCATGTTACCTAACCTTTGTGAACTCCTTAGGTAGACTAAGAATAATACCAATCTAGAAAGCCTATGGTGAAGACTAAGTGAAATAACGTGAAAATGCAAACATAATACCTACTCAAAGTAGGCTTTGAAGAGGGATTAGTGTTCTCCCCACCTCCCCCCGCCATGCTTCCTGGCCACAAATGCTGAAAACAGTAACCAAATAATCAGACCTACAGATGGAAGAGATTTCAGAGGTTTGAATTCCCCAATTAGTGATTATTCAGTCCCTACTTAAGCTACTCTAAAAAAAGGATTTCACCTATTTCAGGTGCCAGTCTTTATCATTTAGTAAAAGCTCTGCTAAGATTTTCTTAAAATCCTGTCTAGATCCAGAAGAACTAATCCCCCTATCTTCCTCCCTCAGTATGATGAAGAGATCTATGAACGTCACTTGAAGACACATTCACATTGTTTCTTTCAAAGGGGTATGAGCTCCTAGAGTAAGAAGAGGCACTGGGCCAAGGAGCACGGCTAGGCTCCAGTTCCCAGGTCTGATGCAGTGTGATCTTTGTCATTTCCCTATGTCACAGTTTCCTCATCTGTAAAGTGAAAGTTGGGCCTGATTTTTTTCATTTTTTCTCTTTTGTGCCAATTTGTTTCCCACGGCATACTAACATCTTTATAAACTCGCAGGAAAGAGATATTGTAAACACAAATTTCAGATATACTTTGAAAATAGGTTTCGTTTTGTTTTTAATCTTAGGGAAATATATTTTTAAAAAAGAAAATAGGTTTCATATACCTTTTCTCATATACCTATAACAAATACCTCTTTCTGTTTGAATTTTACTATCCGCTTAAGATAAAAACATGTATCAATCACTAAGGAAAAGGCTAGAGGAGACAGGAGACTTAGAAATATCTCCAGAATAATTTTGCAACAATTCCAAGATTCTCTGCACTTCTTTTTCTGTCCCTTAATTAGCCTTCTCTATATTTTCCAACTATGGAGGTATTGCTGTATTTTCTTCAATTTTACATTGTTTTCGATGCTTTTGCAAGGAATCTCTGCCTTGAACGAACCCAAGACATACTGCAATGTTCAGGAAGATCTCCAAGTTTACACCTGCCTGTATGAATCCCAAAAGTCGTCGTCAGGTCAAAGGGACGACCTTAGAGAAGAAAGAAGTTCAAGAAATGGTGCCCCCTTAAATGATTTAGCATTAGAAAATACTGACTTTGTGGCCGGGCGCGGTGGCTCACGCCTGTTAATCCTAGCACTTTGGGAGGCCAAGGTGGATCACCTGAGGTCAGGAGTTCAAGACCAGCGTGGCCATCATGGTGAAACCCCGTCTTTAAAAAATATTTTTTTAATAAAAAAATAAAAAATAAATAAAAGAAAATACTGACTTTGCTTTTTCTTTCATCAACCCTGGAAGCCAAATAAGGCAACCGGGCATTCAGGACTTCTTTTGAGCAAAACCCGTGATTAACACGTGATTACAGAGTTAACTTCTTCAAGACCAGAACACGTAATTACACAGACAACCTCTTCAAGAGCCTCTGTTAATCTGTCGCTTAGAGAACTCTGCATACTGTCCCAATTCCGTCTGAATTTTCCATCAGCTGCCAGCGTTGGTAGCAGAGGGATCGGGTCTTCTCGTCCTCTCCTCAGGGTCTGGCAGCTGTGACTACTGCGGAGTTCAGTCCCCAGAGTCGGGAGCGCTGCCTTTCCCTTTTCAATTGCCAGGGAGCTCATCCACGATTGTGCCAGACGGGCAGCGAGTGGTCTTCTCGAACTACACGGAAAAGAGAAACCCCCTGAACTAAACGCCAGCTCCCACAGCCTAACTCCTCCCAGCTGCATCCGCCAACATCTTCCTGGCCATTCCCAGCACCACCAGCGCACTTCCGGGAAGAACGACATTGCGACTCCGCGCGTGCGCACTCCGCAGCCACCGCCTCCCGCGAGGAGCGAGAGTCCCGCCGCCCCGCCCCGCCCGCGCTGACTGCCCGGGTTTCTGCCAGGAGCCAGCGGCGACCCAGCCCAGGAGAAAAACCGCTAAGGGCGTCTCCGTAGTGCAGTTTGCATCCCACTGGTTTTTAAGGAGATAATTACGAGCTTATTTTACGGTTCATATTGTGCTTAAGACCTTCCAACAGCCTAACGGTATATTATGAATCATTCTTTGTTTTTAAATACGTTAAGAACCTTTTTGAAATAAAAATAGTGCAGGTACATAGTTTAAAGAAAGGAAATCAGATTGCCCCAAAAGGTTTATGAAGAAAAACAATAATGTTCTGT